CCCCCCCCCCACACACACAGGTTTAACACCTGGCAAAGATAAAATGTAGTACTTGTTAAGTATAACCAAAATATCATATATCTTTGAAAAACATATTCAGAGTTCCATCTTTGGACAATATGAACACATTTTTCAAGTTCGAGTAGGGAGAAGAGTCTCCCAGCTCTGAGAGATAGAGGCAGTCTCATGTTGTTGTTTTTGTTAGTTGCTGTCAAGATGATTCCAATTCATGGCAACCCTACGTGTGCAGAGTAGAACTGCTCCATAGGCTTTCAAGGCTATGAACCTTTCAGAAGCAGGTCTCCAGGCTTATCTTCCAACCAGCCTCTGCATGGGTTCAAACCACCAATCTTTCAACCGGTAGTCCAGCACTTAACTATTTGCTCCACCCAGAGACTCCTATAGGTTGAGAACAGATGTACTAGGTACTGAATTAAGGAAAAATAAGAACTCCAAGACCTCTCTCACCCCACCAGCTAGTCCTGTATTAGTCTGGAGTGCTGAAAGTTCAATCTTAGACCTTTTTTTGGCCTAGACACTTCTTTAAACTCATACCCATATATCCCATTGTCTGATCAGTATTTCTACTTGGATCTCTGAAAAGCGTCTCAAACTCAACATGTCTGGGACAGAATTCATGATATTCACACCACACCCTCTTCTGCCCATCTCTTCCCAAATAGAGCCTCCTCCAGAGTTCCCAATCTTGATGAATGACACCTTTTAGCTGCACAAAGTTAGAAAACCTAAGAGTATTCTATTTCCTCTTCTCTAACACCCATATCCAATTCCTTAGCACCTACTACTGGCTTTTTCACTCTCTAAATATCTTGTGAAGCCGTCAATCTTCTTGATCTCTACTGCCATCACCGTAGCCTAAACTACCATCAGTTTTTATCAGACCTCACAGATTTTGTCTGCTCTTATATGCTATGCCCGTTTCCCTACTAGCAATCTTTCTAGTACTTAGTTGCCTACAGTCCTTTGTGAGCAATGACCCTAAGTAATATGGCTTCTGCCTTCTACTTCTCTGGCTCTCCATCTCTGTGCTTCAACCATAGTGGCATTCTTTCAGTTCCTGCAAAGGACCAAGTTCTTCCTCATCTCAGACTGTCTCCTCTGACTAGGAACAGTACCTGCCACAACCTCTCACTACTTCCAGATATCAATTCAAGATTTCTTCCTAAAGGATGTCTTTCCTGATCACCCCTAGCCTAGGCCAGTTGTCTTTCCTATATGTGCTCATAGATGCTGTTCCTTCCCTTCATATCAGTTTGTAATTATACATCAATATCTGTGATGACTTTATTAACTCTGCCTGGACAATTAGACAGTATGCTTCCTAAAGACAAAGATTCTGACTGATCTTATTCACAATAATATCCTTAGTCCCCAGTGTGGTGCCTGACACATAATAATACCTTTTGGAGAAGGAACAAAGGAAGGAAGGCTCCTTTAGTCATTCTGTCACTCTTCTGAAAATTACTAATGTGTCATTTTCCTATTTACTATTACACTGCCGCCATCTGGGCTCCATACCAAGGTACCTCTCCTCCCTGGCCCATTGTGTCAGAAAACATTCTAGGCAACACTTTCAAGTTTTCAAATGTTTTTGTTTATTTGTTTTGCTGCTAATAACATAGGGAAAGTAGACAGGAATCAAAATATTCCCTTCGAACCTGATACCACATTTAATTTAATTGATTCTAAGGTATATATTTTAAAACACATGTAAACTATACACACACGTATATATAAACTGTACATATATGTATGTAATATACTTGATAGATGCATTGTCCTCATTGTTCACAAAGGATTGAAGTAGGACATATTTAACTTTCAGAGGAAATCTATTTTCAGGATATGCTAAGCTTATCACT